GTAATTCAAAGTGTCACCAATCTTTAGATTGCACTAATAAGTAAGTACAATTTTATCATATGTTTGGCAAATTCATTTCCCTAATTGTAATAATATTTTAAACCGTTTGATTTTTGTATTAAAGTTTTTTTAATTGATTGATGATTGATTCAATCAACTAATTTGTTGATTGTATTAACTTGATTCTTTAGATATTGAAAATTAAATAAAGAACATTATGTTAATTTAAGCGTACAGAAACGTTGCTGTTGTTCCAGCAAAGATCTTATTTTAACTTTACCGAGTGCCTAGTAGGTAATTTGCAGATTACCTAGGTAATTTGAGAAATGGAATAATTTTCGCAACTTTAACGGATTAGCTAGGTAATGAACACATTAACGGATTTCGAGCTTTAGCGGCAACATATACATAATAGTTGCAAAAGTAAAACGGGCATAATCTAATTATAGTAGTATTTATAAAACAAGCTTGATGATTTAATTACAAAATTAAGTGGGCTAAATTTTAAAAACATTTGAAGGTATTATTTTATAAATACTCAGAGCTATTAAACACATGCAAACTCCTAGATTGTGCAGCAGTTTGATGTCACTATTCTCTCTCTCCTTATAAAATGCTGATTGCACAAGTCCAAAAACAAGCCAGTAAATTTAAGATGCCCATAGTACTGATCATGGACGCTATTTTAAAATTCATCTAAATTGGTTCATTAATGTTAAAATGCCAATAGTAAGTTCAGCCACATGTATTGAGTGCTACCATGCTCAAAATCTACATAAAAATTGCCTTTTTAGTTATTTAAACAAACAGTATGATTGATGAAACAGGAAGTTCCTAGTCCATAAGCTTGATACTTCTCAACTAACATATGGTGGTGTATCTATCAATTTTGGCTGCATTTTTCCAAGTTATAAAATTCTGTTTTAATTGTTCTCTCACTACGTATGTATGTTTCCTATCATGTTTAACATGGGCATTGCAGTGTTGATGCTATGGATGAAATAGTTATTTATAAACTGTCAAATGGTGTTTGATTTTTGATCTGCTTTTGTAATACAAAATCTCTGATGTAAACCATTTAATGCTTGTTTGAGATATGAAAATGTTCTGAAATTTCTATGCTCTTTGCCACAGAAAAGGTCAATTTTCCCCATTCCTAAAATTCTTAGCTCAATATTGGGCCATATTTTTACTACAGCATTTTCCCCAAGAAACAAACAAACTGAACATTACCTGATTAATAAATTGATGCAATTTTTAACCAAGACTCATTCTGATCAGAATTGCTATTTAAGATTTACACAGCATATTCTGCATCTCAATGAAATCTATTAAATATTTTTAGTTGATTTATTTTCAATTTTATAGTTTACTAAATATTTTTCATTTGAGATTTTTGTTTAACAGGAAAATATTAACACACTGGGTGAAGAAATTGCTCGTGTTGTCGAGGAACATCGGACTCTCCAAACGCAACTTACAAAATATAAAAGTGGCAAATAAGCCAACTGTAAAATAAGAATCAGAAAAAATTGTACAGTATTTTATGCTGCAGTGTCTATTAAATTTTATACAACTGTATTAATCATGTAATTTTGCTTGAAGATAATAAAGGATTCAATCACTACTATTCTTGGTTTTTTTTAAACAAATGATTTAATGTGTACAGTTAACAATTTTCGGTTAGCTTAATTTAGCACCAAATAATTGAGACAGAACCTTAAATTGGTCCCACAATTTACAGAATAGTTTAGCTCTCGAAAGCAGCAGTTTGTTACAAAATTTTTGGACAAAATTTTCAAGAAACGTTGACTAGATAATTTTTGCCCTTGTTTTTAAAATACAGTAACTAATGCTTGGGAAGATAAAAAATATGGAATCCACACAATGTACCATAAACACAATATGTATGTATGAATGATTTTGGATAAAACAGTTTTTGGCATTTTTTCGATTCATTTAAGACTGACAGTTGCTGATAGTCTTGTGAAAAGATTATCAGCAATATTTTCAATTTATGCTTGTAGACATTATTGAATTTTTAATCTTTTGCTGTATTCTATTTGTTGCTGTTCTTTCCACTCTGATTTTACTTTCATCCTTTTGAGTTGTCCATCCCTAAAATAACAAACTTATAATTACATTGACACTGTGGATAATATCTGTGATAGCAAGTAGCAAATAACATACCACATTAAATCAACAAGGCCACCCTGTCTTGAAATTTCTGCTTTGACTCTGTTAGCAAAATCTATGGCACTTTCTTCAGGCTAAACATGTAAACATAACTCATATATCAAACCAATTTAAAGCAGAAAAAAATCTGAAAAGCTTACCTGTCTTGTCATTGGTGGTAAGTACCAAACATCACAAACAATAGCCCAACTAGTCATCATCATAAGTAAATAATGTACATAGCCTTGCTGACTACTATTCCAAAAAGCATCTCCAAATTTGGAATCATACTAAAGAATTAAAAATCAAAACTTAGATTGTTTAAAAATCATGTTAATTGCAAATGAAAAACTTTCCAACCAGCAAGTAATTAAGAATGCAGGTAAAGAAAATAATTGTACAACACTACAAACACAACCAAAATTTTGGAATCGTGCATTTAAACAGTAAAATTTAATAATAAATCAGGATTTCTCCTCCTGTTGTTATTTGTATATGGCAATGTAACAAATGGTTGAGCTTCTGAAATGCCTCTCAGTAGACTGAGGAATTAGCACCTATTTAGATGTTACAAACATGAAGAAAAACCTGATGAACTTCATATGGCCAGCTCTTTGGTAAGGTGGAAACCCATGACTAATGGCACAGTGGTTTTATTCACTACCACTAGCAAAAGTGGTAGAGTGAATAAAACCAAATAACAAGGTTCAGATTTTTCTTAGTGATTTTTGCTTTTACCAATGACAGACCTTGCTGCATCACAATTATATGTAGTGTCATTTGTTGTTGAAATAGATCTGACTTCCTGGAGTGCAAGAACAGGATGTCATTTCAACCATTTTCACTTATATAAAAGGATGTTACAATTTTCTTCATTCTCACTATTTAAAACACATGCTAAATAAATTTGCAATTTGAGAATAAAAATTAACTGTGTGGTAACTCACTGAATGCCACATAAGGAAAATGATATTCAAATGAAATAAAACTATTTTCAAATCACATGGCAGCGTAAGTTTAAGTATACTTAGTTATATCCCTTAACAGTTTTATATTCACACAGTATTATATTCATTCTTATTCATATAATGAAATTTAAAAATTTGTATCAAATCATAAAATAAAGGGCACTACTACAAGATGATTTCCTTGTAATGGGCTGAGGAATACATCTGTAACAAGTAATTTGCAGAAACAGTTCGTTTATAGTTCAGTGCTTAAAGCAGCAGACTTCACTATTAGAAAGTGAAAGTGCTGCTAGTATTTCATTGCCATTCCAAACATTACAGGTGTTTTTACCCATTGGATTTGTGGGGAAACTGAAAGCATATTAGATTTAAATAATACTTTACTTGTAGAAATGTTTGAAAGTGAAGATGTAAAACTTGGATGGGCAAATCAGACTTACTCTTTTCTTATGTTTCTGGGACAAAACATGACAAGATGTGCAGACAAAATAGGTTCTCTAATGTGCCATCAAATCTACTGTAATGTACATCAGATTTTTGAGATGTCAAAATCTGAAAAACTTAGTACATTTGCAAACTATATATCAAACAAAGCTAAAAATGTTACTGTATTTAAACAGTGATAAAATCCTTCTAAAAAAATGCATTTATTTTCATGTTTATAGTACTTCATGACTTCCACACTTTCAAATGCATTCCTTTATGATTCCATCATCACGGAAAGAGGATCTGCAGACCAATTAAAAAAAAAAGTCAAAATTACTGTAGGATCAAAGTTTTAACAGAAAGATATCACATCAGTGTGGCACAATCATAAAATTTACCAGATACTTAATATCACACTGAAAAATCTATATACAGGTTCATCAGCATAGTAGATATCACTCTCTCTTTATAAAGTTGTGTTTAGGCATTCATCTGCAAGACATCATTCAGCTTGCTGTAGTTCATAAGACCATCAAATTCTTCCAAAACAAAAATTAAAACCAAAGAAGTGAGAAGGATGTATACCATGTCTATACAGATATACGTGCTCGTAATAAGTTACACATGAATTACCAAGCAGAGCTAAGAGCAAATAATGCAAATGAGACTGTATTAAGTCAACTTTGAGCCTGATTCTAATATGCATACCATTTTTGAGACCAGAAAAATTCAAAAAAGTGCATATTAGAATTGAGAAAGTGTGATACAGTAATACTCCAAACTTACGCGATAACCGTGTAAATCAAATTCGCGTAAGTCGGTATAATTTCGCAATTTGTGTAAAATCCAAATCAGATGTATGTAAGCTAATAAATGTTCTTGTTAATCTTATCTTGTCTTTTGATTCGTTCACAGTTACAAGAAGTCACCACAGAGTCAGTGGCGTAGCGTGGGTGTCAGCCGCCCGGGGTGGAGGAAAATTTCACTCCCCCTTATTTAGGTATCTCAATTTAAAAGACTAAAATTCAGTTTTGTCACAGAATAAGTAATGAAAAATTCTGTGCTAGTGTTGCCACCTTATTAAAATCGCTGACCCGGACGACAGGTGAGGTTTGTTCGAATAGAAGTTCCTGACACATGCGTATGTCATTTTGCAATGTAAAGAATAATGTGCAGTGCATGCTGGTTCTAAATCAGTTACAGTTAGAGACTAGGGAAACTTGGATAGGAGTAATGCAAGTGACCTAGCTGTATGGATATTGGAGGTGTATATATATATACGAATAAATCGTACAAGCAAAAATAAAAAAAAAAGGTCAACAGGTTGCGCACGATATCCCCGGACGGCGAGATGATTCCCGGATTATCTGGATGAATGGTAACACTATTCCGTGCTCATTTCAATCGGTCTGAGTCATAGGTGGACGAAAATATGAAATAAAATGGTTCAGATTCTTACAAGATATTATTTATTGTGAAATTTTGCTGCCTCCTAAAAAGTGCCCCCTGGCCCCTGCCGCCCCCACTACGCTACTGCATAGAGTCTCTCGAGTCTCCGTAGATATAACAAACACAGGAATAAATAACACAAAATAAATTGTAGCTATGTGTCGATTCCACGCGACACGTCCGAGCATGTAAGCTGAACAATAGTGTGGGGAGGAGTGAGTAATCAAGAGCTGTGTGGCGCTCAAACAAAAGACGAATCGACAAGATTTGAAAATCGCGTAAGTCGAGGTATTACTGTACTATACTTGCACTATAAGCACTTGGCAGAGTGGTTAGAAAAGACAAGGAGCCAGTGTTGAAGAACCAAACAGATTGCTTGAAAGCTGCAAACATTTTGTTCCTGAAGGAACATTATATACAACACAAAAACAACTCAATGATTTGTACTCATTATAAGGAAGTAAATATGTTAATCCAAGGACCAACAACTTGTCATGCAAGCAGGTCATAAAAAAAAAGTCGTTATATTTTCTTCCCTTGCTTTCAGTTGTCATAATATCTGTAGTTTAATAATTCACAGTTGCTGCTTCACAGTCACCTAGGGTGCATTTAGAAATTGTAACCGGTGTGTTAATGCACCCCTCATCTAGACAGTTTGGCACCACATTATTTGTTTGTATGAAATAATTTTTTTATAAATTTTTCACATCTGCATGTTTTTACATTTGAATATTAAAGATAAAATTATGTAGGTCAGAATTCATTGATCATAATTGGATGTCAATGCAAAGAAAAAAAAATTAGTTTACTTTTTACCGCAATAGAAAGATGAGGAAGATGTTAATAAAAAAATTTGTTCTGATTATGAGTTATTTGAAAAATGCTTAGCATATGGGAAGAATGTTTCTTGAGGAGCAAAGACAAATCAAAAAATGTATACAACAAATCTCTATAAACATTAATATTCTTCTGAACCTAATATTTTTGATCACTTAGTGGAAAACAAAGGATAGGATCACTAAATTTGTTGGTTGGAAATAAAACAGTGTGTTAGTCAATTTCATACCTTGATTGCAGCAGGATATATTGTTCCTCCAACTTCAAAACTTCCTTTTTTAAACATCATGACTGAAGTGTTATTGATACATGTTCCTGTCAACAGAGAATAATTAAATAAGTTTTGTATAAAAATATTTTTGAAATGACACTTTTTATTTTGAATTACCTTCTGGAAATATTAAAATAGGTAATTTCTCAGGATCTTCTACATGTTCGCTTAATCTAAGGAATTTACATTCAGATAAAATGAAAGATAATAATTTACTTTTAACATTTAAAAAAATTATTATTATTAAAAACATTCTATACTTTAATATGAAATTTACCTCTTTGTAACTATTGCTCGGTCTTTCATTTCAAACCGTTCAAACCAAATGTGTGAAGTTGCTCGAGCCAATGCTCTTTGAAGAACTCCTAGGAATCCTCCTTGACGTTGTCCAACCTTATATATTTAACAACAAATAATTAACATATTAATAAATATTGACAGTTTATAAAACAGCTAAAACACTTGCCAAGGCATAACAATTGTCACTAGCCAATATCACAACGTCAATTGGAGATGTATGATTAGCAACACATATTCCTCCTCCCTTTGCTCTGTTTTCTCTAACCATAATGATGAAAAAATTATCACCATTCAAATTTCAATTAATATTTTCTCTCATTGATTTACCTGTTATGATAAGTCACAATAGCAGAGAAAGCTCTTCCCAAAACACGAAAACACATTAAACTAACATGCCAATACAAAAATCTTTTTACTCTGTCAATCAAATCAAGCTAAAGATTAATTTTTTAATAATAATAATAATAATAATAAAATCTTTGCAATTTTCCAGTTTAACTTTACCTTCCTTCGGGAATACAACCAATCAGTGCTGTACACATGACCAGCCATCCGACACCAATAAATGTAATTAAAATCCTACAATGAAAATTTTTTAATATATAACAATAATAAAAATGATACCAGGAAGAGTTGTTCTTACCTTGAAGGAAGCAGAAGAAAATATCTTAGCAAGAATCCTAGTCCCCATAATATTGTTAATCTTAAACTAAGAATTGAAAGTAGATGAATATTCTATGATAAGGTAGATAAATATAATTTTGTAAATAATATTTTCATACCTAATATAATGATAATTTTTATTAGTTCTTGTTAGTAAATTCCAAGAACGAATTTCTGAAATCAAAAAAGGAAAAACAAGAAAATAATTGTTTACTTTTAACAAATAAAATTAATGGTTTGTTTCTTAAAATAATTAACTTTAAAAAATATTATGAATGTCAATTTTACCAACATTTTTGTAAAAATTTACTTTGTAAACTATAAACAAATATTCTAAACCCGATATATAACATAACTAAACACCAATCGTAATAACCGACGATGGTTAAGTAGTTAGCTTATATACGCTGGAAGAGAAGATCGGACTGGAGGTCCAGATAGCGTAACTGGCAACGCATCTGCACGGTAAGCAGGAGTTGTGGGTTCGAGTCCCGCTCCGGGCTGATTTTTTCTCCCAGCTGTTCTAAATTATTTAAATTAATTAATTTATTTATAATTATTAATATTAATAAGAGATGGCGCCTAACGCTTACCTCTAGTGCCAAATTAATTACGTAATTTATTTAGTAATTAGCATTAAAAAATAGCCCGATTAATTTACGGCCCATAAAACATGACTTCCAGTTTTGCTCTAACANAAAAAAAAAAAAAAAAAAAAAAAAAAAAAAAAAAAAAAAAAAAAAAAAAAAAAAAAAAAAAAAAAAAAAAAAAAAAAAAAAAAAAAAAAAAAAAAAAAAAAAAAAAAAAAAAAAAAAAAAAAAAAAAAAAAAAAAAAAAAAAAAAAAAAAAAAAAAAAAAAAAAAAAAAAAAAAAAAAAAAAAAAAAAAAAAAAAAAAAAAAAAAAAAAAAAAAAAAAAAAAAAAAAAAAAAAAAAAAAAAAAAAAAAAAAAAAAAAAAAAAAAAAAAAAAAAAAAAAAAAAAAAAAAAAAAAAAAAAAAAAAAAAAAAAAAAAAAAAAAAAAAAAAAAAAAAAAAAAAAAAAAAAAAAAAAAAAAAAAAAAAAAAAAAAAAAAAAAAAAAAAAAAAAAAAAAAAAAAAAAAAAAAAAAAAAAAAAAAAAAAAAAAAAAAAAAAAAAAAAAAAAAAAAAAAAAAAAAAAAAAAAAAAAAAAAAAAAAAAAAAAAAAAAAAAAAAAAAAAAAAAAAAAAAAAAAAAAAAAAAAAAAAAAAAAAAAAAAAAAAAAAAAAAAAAAAAAAAAAAAAAAAAAAAAAAAAAAAAAAAAAAAAAAAAAAAAAAAAAAAAAAAAAAAAAAAAAAAAAAAAAAAAAAAAAAAAAAAAAAAAAAAAAAAAAAAAAAAAAAAAAAAAAAAAAAAAAAAAAAAAAAAAAAAAAAAAAAAAAAAAAAAAAAAAAAAAAAAAAAAAAAAAAAAAAAAAAAAAAAAAAAAAAAAAAAAAAAAAAAAAAAAAAAAAAAAAAAAAAAAAAAAAAAAAAAAAAAAAAAAAAAAAAAAAAAAAAAAAAAAAAAAAAAAAAAAAAAAAAAAAAAAAAAAAAAAAAAAAAAAAAAAAAAAAAAAAAAAAAAAAAAAAAAAAAAAAAAAAAAAAAAAAAAAAAAAAAAAAAAAAAAAAAAAAAAAAAAAAAAAAAAAAAAAAAAAAAAAAAAAAAAAAAAAAAAAAAAAAAAAAAAAAAAAAAAAAAAAAAAAAAAAAAAAAAAAAAAAAAAAAAAAAAAAAAAAAAAAAAAAAAAAAAAAAAAAAAAAAAAAAAAAAAAAAAAAAAAAAAAAAAAAAAAAAAAAAAAAAAAAAAAAAAAAAAAAAAAAAAAAAAAAAAAAAAAAAAAAAAAAAAAAAAAAAAAAAAAAAAAAAAAAAAAAAAAAAAAAAAAAAAAAAAAAAAAAAAAAAAAAAAAAAAAAAAAAAAAAAAAAAAAAAAAAAAAAAAAAAAAAAAAAAAAAAAAAAAAAAAAAAAAAAAAAAAAAAAAAAAAAAAAAAAAAAAAAAAAAAAAAAAAAAAAAAAAAAAAAAAAAAAAAAAAAAAAAAAAAAAAAAAAAAAAAAAAAAAAAAAAAAAAAAAAAAAAAAAAAAAAAAAAAAAAAAAAAAAAAAAAAAAAAAAAAAAAAAAAAAAAAAAAAAAAAAAAAAAAAAAAAAAAAAAAAAAAAAAAAAAAAAAAAAAAAAAAAAAAAAAAAAAAAAAAAAAAAAAAAAAAAAAAAAAAAAAAAAAAAAAAAAAAAAAAAAAAAAAAAAAAAAAAAAAAAAAAAAAAAAAAAAAAAAAAAAAAAAAAAAAAAAAAAAAAAAAAAAAAAAAAAAAAAAAAAAAAAAAAAAAAAAAAAAAAAAAAAAAAAAAAAAAAAAAAAAAAAAAAAAAAAAAAAAAAAAAAAAAAAAAAAAAAAAAAAAAAAAAAAAAAAAAAAAAAAAAAAAAAAAAAAAAAAAAAAAAAAAAAAAAAAAAAAAAAAAAAAAAAAAAAAAAAAAAAAAAAAAAAAAAAAAAAAAAAAAAAAAAAAAAAAAAAAAAAAAAAAAAAAAAAAAAAAAAAAAAAAAAAAAAAAAAAAAAAAAAAAAAAAAAAAAAAAAAAAAAAAAAAAAAAAAAAAAAAAAAAAAAAAAAAAAAAAAAAAAAAAAAAAAAAAAAAAAAAAAAAAAAAAAAAAAAAAAAAAAAAAAAAAAAAAAAAAAAAAAAAAAAAAAAAAAAAAAAAAAAAAAAAAAAAAAAAAAAAAAAAAAAAAAAAAAAAAAAAAAAAAAAAAAAAAAAAAAAAAAAAAAAAAAAAAAAAAAAAAAAAAAAAAAAAAAAAAAAAAAAAAAAAAAAAAAAAAAAAAAAAAAAAAAAAAAAAAAAAAAAAAAAAAAAAAAAAAAAAAAAAAAAAAAAAAAAAAAAAAAAAAAAAAAAAAAAAAAAAAAAAAAAAAAAAAAAAAAAAAAAAAAAAAAAAAAAAAAAAAAAAAAAAAAAAAAAAAAAAAAAAAAAAAAAAAAAAAAAAAAAAAAAAAAAAAAAAAAAAAAAAAAAAAAAAAAAAAAAAAAAAAAAAAAAAAAAAAAAAAAAAAAAAAAAAAAAAAAAAAAAAAAAAAAAAAAAAAAAAAAAAAAAAAAAAAAAAAAAAAAAAAAAAAAAAAAAAAAAAAAAAAAAAAAAAAAAAAAAAAAAAAAAAAAAAAAAAAAAAAAAAAAAAAAAAAAAAAAAAAAAAAAAAAAAAAAAAAAAAAAAAAAAAAAAAAAAAAAAAAAAAAAAAAAAAAAAAAAAAAAAAAAAAAAAAAAAAAAAAAAAAAAAAAAAAAAAAAAAAAAAAAAAAAAAAAAAAAAAAAAAAAAAAAAAAAAAAAAAAAAAAAAAAAAAAAAAAAAAAAAAAAAAAAAAAAAAAAAAAAAAAAAAAAAAAAAAAAAAAAAAAAAAAAAAAAAAAAAAAAAAAAAAAAAAAAAAAAAAAAAAAAAAAAAAAAAAAAAAAAAAAAAAAAAAAAAAAAAAAAAAAAAAAAAAAAAAAAAAAAAAAAAAAAAAAAAAAAAAAAAAAAAAAAAAAAAAAAAAAAAAAAAAAAAAAAAAAAAAAAAAAAAAAAAAAAAAAAAAAAAAAAAAAAAAAAAAAAAAAAAAAAAAAAAAAAAAAAAAAAAAAAAAAAAAAAAAAAAAAAAAAAAAAAAAAAAAAAAAAAAAAAAAAAAAAAAAAAAAAAAAAAAAAAAAAAAAAAAAAAAAAAAAAAAAAAAAAAAAAAAAAAAAAAAAAAAAAAAAAAAAAAAAAAAAAAAAAAAAAAAAAAAAAAAAAAAAAAAAAAAAAAAAAAAAAAAAAAAAAAAAAAAAAAAAAAAAAAAAAAAAAAAAAAAAAAAAAAAAAAAAAAAAAAAAAAAAAAAAAAAAAAAAAAAAAAAAAAAAAAAAAAAAAAAAAAAAAAAAAAAAAAAAAAAAAAAAAAAAAAAAAAAAAAAAAAAAAAAAAAAAAAAAAAAAAAAAAAAAAAAAAAAAAAAAAAAAAAAAAAAAAAAAAAAAAAAAAAAAAAAAAAAAAAAAAAAAAAAAAAAAAAAAAAAAAAAAAAAAAAAAAAAAAAAAAAAAAAAAAAAAAAAAAAAAAAAAAAAAAAAAAAAAAAAAAAAAAAAAAAAAAAAAAAAAAAAAAAAAAAAAAAAAAAAAAAAAAGAGGACCAATGCTGATAACTACTATTAAAGTTCTTTTGAAGAAATGGAAGGATGATGTCAGAACAATGGTCATAGAATGGCATCCTAACCAGGTTGAGGTTTATAGGCTTGGAGATCTCTACAACAATGTTATTAAAATCCTGAAGACACAGAAGCAATTGACATTGAACAGATTCTTTAACGCCCCACAAGCGGAAAAATACATGACTGATAAAAATGCAAGAATGTGTATGTATGTATTTTTATTATTACATATAAACAAACAAAATAAGAAAGTATACAAATTTTTATTTTTTGGGGTCTCCAGAATGAATTAATCAAATTCCCTTAAAAATCTATGGCAAATCAATAATCAGTTAATGAACAATTCAGGTAGCAAACACTGTCTTGGGACGGATTATGTTCGTTAACTGATCACCCACTATACTTAACAGCAATGTTTGGTAAGTTGTTAACAATTTGTTTAACAAGCAATTTTTACAATATTCATTAACTAAAAATTGCCATAATGTACAAACCGTATCATTGTATTGGGAGAAACACGATCAAACCATTCTTTATGAGTATTTTATCACAATCGTATGGAATATTTTCACAAAAGATTAAATGATGCCATAAATTTTTCTGTAATCCATTTTCATTACAGGAAAGATTAGTATTAGTGTTATTAATGAAAAGAGTATCACAACTGAATTTAGTGCTAATTCATTGTGTGATCTTGTGAATATTTTAAAATTTACATCATCATACAGTGAATTAGCATGAAAATTCTGTTTGGCAATTTATCTTAAACCAATATTAAATTGGATCATAACCGGTCACTTTCTGGTTGATAATGGAAAATATAAAATGCAGGTGATAAATAACTATATTAGTCTTTTTAAATTATAGTATGTTAATATTTGTCTTCTCTTTTTACTCTGAAGAGTAATTTTTAAAACTAACACTGATTCAAATTAAAATTTAAAAATTTCTAGAAAACTAATTAGATTAATACAAAAACATTAATATTTGTAAGAAGGAATGTCCTCACTATTTTCTGTACATGTATAATGCAATAAAAGCATTCTGGTTAGTAAAAATTGTTAATGTATGAGACAAATATCTAAAGCCAGATTCCATTGTGCTATGCATTGGATAGACATTTAGTTCAAATTCATTTCTGTATTAAAATTAAACAGACTGCTATCTTGTGCTAACAACAATTATTAATTTGGTGAAATTTAATAATTTAGAATAATCTGGAAGAAAAGATCAAGCCACAGTGGACTTAAAGCCACATCTTCCACAAACCCTTCAATGCATTATCAGTTATGCTATCTGGACCCTGTCCAATCTTCACTTCCAGATCTATTAATTTGGACTATATAACTAAACTTGTTAATTACCATTCTGACAATAGCCGACTGTTCACAGGCCCTCTATGGCACTCGTCTTAATATATTTGTCAGAATGATGCTGATGTACACACACACACACAAATCTACAAAGATTATCAAATATATAAAGCTGGATATTTTGATAATCTTAAGTACATATAACTACAATCAAGCCTGAATATACTATGTTTTGATTTAATTAGCATTTTGCTGTTAAAATTAATATAATTGAAACTGTTAAATGAAATATAAGTTATTTTGTATAGTTTGTTTTAAAATCTAATTTACTAAGTTTTTTCTAATTATGTAAAACTTAGTTTATATATTTACAGTCTGATCAAGAGTACTTAGGCACCTTCAGCAGTAAATCTTTTGGTTACTTCATCTTCAATAATTGCCTATAAAAATATTTCCCAAATTAAAAATAACTGTTTCAAATCATTGGAAAAAATATCAAGTTTACTTACTTCTACTCCTGCTTTAATGAAATGCATTGCATCATCTAGCTTGAATTCTGTTTGAAAAGTGTTGAAAGACCTATTTCTAGGTATGTTGCCTTTCATTTGTTCAGGATTGGGAACTAACTGCACACCTTCTCTGCTAATTACTAAAATTTACAACTTATTAAAATATTTTAATGTACTGTTCATATTTTATTAACCTATTACCTGTATTGGATCCATTACTCATTTGAAAATTAGATGAATCAGGTTTATCTTCACCATCATACTCTGTTTCTATCTTAATCCCATGATTTCTCATTTCTGCCTTTTTAATTTTACGCTGACCATACTGAAATTGATATTCATATATATACTAACAATTTTCATCAATTAAAATTATGAGGTATTAAATGAAAATATTTCTTACAAGTACATGAAGGCATTTACATAAAACTATGAGAATATATTTTTCAAATACCAAGAATGCAATGCTGTAATTTTATGCTGAAGAACTGTTTTATTTATTTATTTATTGAATTCCCTGTCATCTTAAACAAAGAAATAGTTAAATTTAACCATCTACTAGAGAAAATTTTTAATTTCCATCTGCCAGTAGATAGATGTTTAATAAACTTCTACAGTTCAGCATACCAAAATAAAGTGAAAATTAATTCTTTCATTTAAAAATCGATTAAGATGAAAATTCAAAATGTTCTCTAATATTACTTTCAAATTGACATTTCAGAGTTTCTAAATATATACACAAAATTACATTATTAAATCAAATAATCAAGCTAATTAGTAATATGATTTTAGCTTGATCTCTTACATTTTGCACTTCTATTATTAGTATTGAAATGATAGCTGGAGAATTCAAGTTTTTTAAAAATCTCAGGTTTCTATTAAGTTATTAATAAATTATCTCATCTATATGTAGGGTTTATCTCATATTTAGATATTTTTACAGTTTGATTTCATAATACTGTATAATCTTTTCAAAACTTAATTCAGAAAAAAAATTAACAGAATATATATATTATATAATTATATAATGCTTTTAAAAATAGAATTATAATACAAAATAATTTAATATTGTCTGCTAATATTTATATATTATATTATTCTTGTAAATGTAAGATTTATGTAGATCTCAAAAACATTTTATATATATTCTTTACTGCTGTGTAAGACTTTCTTAATTATTTAAGCATGATGAAAAGATTTTTTTTTATTGTAACAATTCTCAAGCAAATCATATCAAATATTTATCATTGCATACTTTCTCTGATAAGCTTAAATTATATTTGGAAATATCTGTAGTCTGTAAATTTAAATTTCTTAATTATATACAAAAATACTGGATTTCATCAATGAAATCATGAAATTATGTAACTTAAATGTAAAATTTATATTCATGCTTAATTTTAAATATATTTTTATAAGTAGATATAACTTTTTTTTTTTTTAAATTAAATAGTTTTAATAGATAAAAACGGCATATCATTTTGCTAGCATAAACTAATAAAAAAATTCAAGGCCAAAGTGACGAGGTAGATAATTTCTAGCTGTCTTAATATATACTGATTTATTATTTGAAAATTTAAAATGATTGATTAGTCAAATAGAAACAATATTAATAATACACCTAAAACTTGAATAAATTCTATTTCATTCAGATTAACAGAATAAGTAAATTTTCTATAAAAGCTTAAAAGTGTATAATATATTAAGAAAAGAATTAATTTATTATTAACAGACTAAAACATTTTAATCTATGAATTTTATAATTTTGCATAATGTTCATTTATCTAACATTTACTCATTATATTAGATTTAATCATTTGTATTTTACCATTTCACTAAATTACTGAATTACTACATTATGGCTTAAAATACAAATTTATTATAAAAATTGTGTATAACATTTTGAAGAGATAAATCATGTCCTATAATCCAATTATCACATCAAATTATAATTATAAAATCACACACACACACACACACGACTGGAGGGCCGGCACCTCCTCGGTGCCCTGTCAGGAATGACACCACCAGATCCCGATTGACCCAGAAGCAACAATACGGTTTGATTAGGGAATAGTTTGCTCCAAAATCAAATCTGTTTGCTCATTCACGTGACTGGTCGCGTGAATGAGCAAACAGATTTGGGATGGAGACCATGAGGTAGCAAGTGGGAAGGGATGCATGCAGAGACTAGTTTACTTAACAATCACTTATTATATTCTGATTAAATCTTTTACCATATTCTATTTAAAAAAAATAAAAATCAAATACATATTTATTTATCAAGGAAAAAGATAAAATAAAATTATTTATAATTAAAATATTCAGCGCTAATACATAAACACTGAATGGCTATAGCGAATAATAATGTGTTTTGATAATAAAAAAGTTCCAATCTGTCACTAAATTGGCATTAACTGTCTTAAAAAGTGTCAGTAAATGTTGAGCAAAAGTTTAAAGTTTACTCAAATGATTAGTCTAAGTTGTCTTTTGCCAGGTTGGTGTGTAATTGTGAGGCTCTGGCCAGGTCCAAACCCTCACTAAAATTCGCGTTAAAATAATTGTTTTAGAACAAAAATATATATTAGTTAGAAATAGACTTTTATGATATGAAAACGCGACGCTAATTTTTAAACAATAGAAGAATGTAAGTCCGTTGTGATTTTTTCTCCCAGCTGTTCTAAATTATTTAAATTAATTAATTTATTTATAATTATTAATATTAATAAGAGATGGCGCCTAACGCCTACCTCTAGAGCCAAATTGGTTACGTAATTCATTTAGTAATTAGCCTAAAACTAGCCTGATAGATTTTCGGCATACGATTGGTGTTTAGTTTTGTAAACTATGTTAAATTAGATTTCTTTCTCAATTACATGAGTCAAACCAATCAATCTGATTATAATTTTGCAGCTAAAATCATAAAAGTTCAATATTTTTTTTTTTTTGAAAAATGTTTAAAAATAATCTGTCAATGGCAGAGAGAAGATTTAAATTATCATCATTTGCTATTGAATTGAATTAAGATACGAGGGCTATTTTTTAAATAAGGTCCGTTTGTGAATGAGAGTGAGAATGACGCGCGATTGCAGCAGTGTGCATGAGCATCTGCTTTCAGCATGCTTTGCACGTGTTTAGATGCCATTTGCAGCCGTATGGTCTGTCAGTGTGCTGAACTGTAGAAGTTTATAATGTTTAAGAAAATTGAGTCACCCACTGACTAAGATATGATCTGTTATTCGATTTCAGCACGAAAAATCATGGTAACTGTCTTTTGGGACAGGAAAGGGACTTTGTTAGTGGATTTTATGCCAAGAGGCACAACAATCAATTCTGATGCTTATTGTGTGATCTTAGAAAACTCCGCCGTGCCATACAAGACAAGTGGCGTGGCCTAATGTCTTCTGGTGGCAGATTTCTTTGAAGTCGGAATTTAAAAAATTTTTGAGCAGTAAGACAAATGTTTGAACAAAAATGGAAATTATGTAGAAAAGTAGATAAAAGTATGTAGAATATGGGAAAAAATATATTTTAATGATATTTACATTATTTTTCTTCTTATTAAAAAATGGACCTTATTTAAAAAATAGCCTTTGTATAAAAACCATCATATCTGGTATTTGATATCAGAAAACAATTACTCTAATATAGTGTGTATCTGTTTTCTAAACAATACATCTGGATGTGTACTAAAATCTGGCTCTTAAGTTTGTATTTGTGAATGAATGTTACTTTGTAATGAAGAATATTTATGATTTGATCATATTTATATGTCAGATAAGCTTGTAGTCTGATTATTTTGCTAATTAAAAATTATGTAGAGAAGAGAAAAGTAACAATGGTTGAAATGGATGCATTCATTGAGAAGATCGTGCAGAATCTGAAAAAGAGAAAGAATAACTAATGAGAGAATCAAAGACCTAATGGGATTGAAGGAGACAGTTTTGGAAGAAATAAAGAAATGATTTGGACATATGAAAAGAATGAGTGACGAGAGACTGAAAATGTCAATGGAATACAATCCACAAAAAAGAAGAGAGGAAAACCCAGACAAACTTAGTTTGCAAATATAAAATAGATTTGTAGTTAGTACATCATCTATACAATAAAGAAATTTTAATTAGATTTCATCCATATTGAATAATATATACCATATTTTTGCAATTGTCCGGCATGTTGGTCTATGTGGGGAAACTATGAAAATCAGATATATCCACATGGTAAAAATTGGCATGCCAGTTTAAGTGAGGTTACACATCCCTCTGTAGAGGGCAGATTAGAAAAAAAATGAATGAGTTTTTATTCTAAAACTGAAACTGTCAGCATTACATCAAAATCTATGATTATATGTTTAATTTCTTCATTGTCTTCTTTCTAACTATGTGAAATACTCATGGACTTCTGAAAATGCTTTTTGTATGTGTATTTTATTATTTAATTCAAAAATGCAAAAAAATAAACATATTAAATTTAAGAAACTCTGCTGTAAATTTACAGCCTGAGATAATATACAGCTTTATCTTAACTCCACTTTGTGTGAAATTTGAGAGGAAGATGTTATTTTTAAGGTCTGGCTAGAAGGTCAGTGTAGCCCACATTAACTACAACTACTACTACTGTCAATAAGCCATTAATTGTTTTATTAAAATCAGGAAAATTTTGGTTACAAGTCAGTCAAATTACAATGTTTTATTGTACTCAGAAGAATGTTTTCTTTAACATTTAGTTAACAACTAGTTTTGTTATATATGATTAATTTTATTTTATAGTAACAGTTTACTGTTACTATATGACCAGCATGCCAGTCATTCTGCAAAAATACAGTACAGTCGACCCCCTATAACACTGTTGATAATTCCATTTTATATGAATTCCATGTTGTATGAGTCACTTAGATTTTACAAATACGTGTGCCGGGCTGTGAACGGCTCATGTATTTGTAATATCTAAGTGACTCATAAAACATGGAATTCATATAAAATGGAATAATTAACCGTGTTATAGGGGGGATTGACTGTATTATATATATAATAAAAAATATAAATGTATTGATAGTATATTTTATAAATTATTATTTGGTAGTCCTCAAACTACTTTATTTTTTACAACTTTGTTTATATTGACAAATGTTTTAAAACAGTCATTGTATTCTAAAAGGCTTTTACAATTACATGCCTGGAAATGGATCACTATAATATTAAAATATTATTATGTAATATAATCAAATCTCTTTCCTCTAAATAAAGTGAAGTTGCTTTTTTTTAAAGTGCAAAAGCAGTTTAAATAAATTTTAGTTATACTTACAAATGATAAATATTGTACAAAAAGATTGTTAATCAATCACCCACTGTATTTGTAAAACCAAACAGTTTGGACTGAACAAATTGGAAAGGAACACTTTCACGAAAGATTTTTATGTTCAGACAACAAACACGTGAACACCTCACAGAACAAACACAAGAAGCAGCAATGTAAAATAACAAATATTAATTGATCTTCCCTTGTCTCCAGATGACAATTCGAAACCTTTCGGAGCATGGGAGACGATAATATTGACGCTGAACCCGACAACACTATTCCTTCAAACTTTGAAACTCTCCCTTGTAATTTCAGCCTTTTGTTTACATTTCTGACAAAGAATTTTTTAGTCTTCATGAGACTGTTGGGTTTTGTGTTAAGTTGTGTTAACTTGTTAAGTTTTGTGTCAGTTATTATTTTCTAAAAGTGAGCATTTAATAATCAAGATAGTGTGTGGGCAGTTGCTAGGTAGTATGGCTTGAACAGGTCTATAGTAGCACAATCTTAGCTAAGAAAGATATAATCAAGAAGATTCAAGCAGCTAAAGGAGTAACGAAAATCACACCTGAGGAACAAAGAACATTTAACAGCTCATAATGGAACCTGAAACTGATCTGACGACAGAATACACTCAGCAAGATGCATTTTCTTCTAAAAGAGAAAGACAAAAACAAAAAAAAAAAAAAAAAGAGGACCAATGCTGATAACTACTATTAAAGTTCTTTTGAAGAAATGGAAGGATGATGTCAGAACAATGGTCATAGAATGGCATCCTAACCAGGTTGAGGTTTATAGGCTTGGAGATCTCTACAACAATGTTATTAAAATCCTGAAGACACAGAAGCAATTGACATTGAACAGATTCTTTAACGCCCCACAAGCGGAAAAATACATGACTGATAAAAATGCAAGAATGTGTATGTATGTATTTTTATTATTACATATAAACAAACAAAATAAGAAAGTATACAAATTTTTATTTTTTGGGGTCTCCAGAATGAATTAATCAAATTCCCTTAAAAATCTATGGCAAATCAATAATCAGTTAATGAACAATTCAGGTAGCAAACACTGTCTTGGGACGGATTATGTTCGTTAACTGATCACCCACTATACTTAACAGCAATGTTTGGTAAGTTGTTAACAATTTGTTTAACAAGCAATTTTTACAATATTCATTAACTAAAAATTGCCATAATGTACAAACCGTATCATTGTATTGGGAGAAACACGATCAAACCATTCTTTATGAGTATTTTATCACAATCGTATGGAATATTTTCACAAAAGATTAAATGATGCCATAAATTTTTCTGTAATCCATTTTCATTACAGGAAAGATTAGTATTAGTGTTATTAATGAAAAGAGTATCACAACTGAATTTAGTGCTAATTCATTGTGTGATCTTGTGAATATTTTAAAATTTACATCATCATACAGTGAATTAGCATGAAAATTCTGTTTGGCAATTTATCTTAAACCAATATTAAATTGGATCATAACCGGTCACTTTCTGGTTGATAATGGAAAATATAAAATGCAGGTGATAAATAACTATATTAGTCTTTTTAAATTATAGTATGTTAATATTTGTCTTCTCTTTTTACTCTGAAGAGTAATTTTTAAAACTAACACTGATTCAAATTAAAATTTAAAAATTTCTAGAAAACTAATTAGATTAATACAAAAACATTAATATTTGTAAGAAGGAATGTCCTCACTATTTTCTGTACATGTATAATGCAATAAAAGCATTCTGGTTAGTAAAAATTGTTAATGTATGAGACAAATATCTAAAGCCAGATTCCATTGTGCTATGCATTGGATAGACATTTAGTTCAAATTCATTTCTGTATTAAAATTAAACAGACTGCTATCTTGTGCTAACAACAATTATTAATTTGGTGAAATTTAATAATTTAGAATAATCTGGAAGAAAAGATCAAGCCACAGTGGACTTAAAGCCACATCTTCCACAAACCCTTCAATGCATTATCAGTTATGCTATCTGGACCCTGTCCAATCTTCACTTCCAGATCTATTAATTTGGACTATATAACTAAACTTGTTAATTACCATTCTGACAATAGCCGACTGTTCACAGGCCCTCTATGGCACTCGTCTTAATATATTTGTCAGAATGATGCTGATGTACACACACACACACACAAATCTACAAAGATTATCAAATATATAAAGCTGGATATTTTGATAATCTTAAGTACATATAACTACAATCAAGCCTGAATATACTATGTTTTGATTTAATTAGCATTTTGCTGTTAAAATTAATATAATTGAAACTGTTAAATGAAATATAAGTTATTTTGTATAGTTTGTTTTAAAATCTAATTTACTAAGTTTTTTCTAATTATGTAAAACTTAGTTTATATATTTACAGTCTGATCAAGAGTACTTAGGCACCTTCAGCAGTAAATCTTTTGGTTACTTCATCTTCAATAATTGCCTATAAAAATATTTCCCAAATTAAAAATAACTGTTTCAAATCATTGGAAAAAATATCAAGTTTACTTACTTCTACTCCTGCTTTAATGAAATGCATTGCATCATCTAGCTTGAATTCTGTTTGAAAAGTGTTGAAAGACCTATTTCTAGGTATGTTGCCTTTCATTTGTTCAGGATTGGGAACTAACTGCACACCTTCTCTGCTAATTACTAAAATTTACAACTTATTAAAATATTTTAATGTACTGTTCATATTTTATTAACCTATTACCTGTATTGGATCCATTACTCATTTGAAAATTAGATGAATCAGGTTTATCTTCACCATCATACTCTGTTTCTATCTTAATCCCATGATTTCTCATTTCTGCCTTTTTAATTTTACGCTGACCATACTGAAATTGATATTCATATATATACTAACAATTTTCATCAATTAAAATTATGAGGTATTAAATGAAAATATTTCTTACAAGTACATGAAGGCATTTACATAAAACTATGAGAATATATTTTTCAAATACCAAGAATGCAATGCTGTAATTTTATGCTGAAGAACTGTTTTATTTATTTATTTATTGAATTCCCTGTCATCTTAAACAAAGAAATAGTTAAATTTAACCATCTACTAGAGAAAATTTTTAATTTCCATCTGCCAGTAGATAGATGTTTAATAAACTTCTACAGTTCAGCATACCAAAATAAAGTGAAAATTAATTCTTTCATTTAAAAATCGATTAAGATGAAAATTCAAAATGTTCTCTAATATTACTTTCAAATTGACATTTCAGAGTTTCTAAATATATACACAAAATTACATTATTAAATCAAATAATCAAGCTAATTAGTAATATGATTTTAGCTTGATCTCTTACATTTTGCACTTCTATTATTAGTATTGAAATGATAGCTGGAGAATTCAAGTTTTTTAAAAATCTCAGGTTTCTATTAAGTTATTAATAAATTATCTCATCTATATGTAGGGTTTATCTCATATTTAGATATTTTTACAGTTTGATTTCATAATACTGTATAATCTTTTCAAAACTTAATTCAGAAAAAAAATTAACAGAATATATATATTATATAATTATNACGTAGAACATCCAAGATCGCGGAAATCTTGTAAGCTTCTTTCGTGTTTAATAAACAGTTGTGTTGTTTGTAAACGAAGCATCTATCTCTGACTCAACTGCTTCCACATGTCGTTGATTGTTACCGCTCGGCAATCCAAACGGCAAGGGAGAGATGACGATACATATCACATATTATCGTTCATCGAGTTCTTTTAAATTTCTCTCCCCTCGGCCCCCACATAATGTCTGTTGTGTGCAAGTGAGATGGTGAGTGTGTTTGTGTTTGTGATGCAGTATGTATACTTGGGTCAGTGCTGCATTTACCAACAATGGTAAAAAGGTTTCACTAAACTAATAAACCAGCAAAAGAACCACTCACTTTAGCAAAGCAGAATTAGAAAATAGACAAATTATCACTAAAAAACTCATTAGTCACCATCTTCTTGAGATGACAACTCAGTAGTTCCAATGACATTTTACAGCAATACTGGCAGTAGGCATAAGCTTTCAGCTGGGTCATTCGTGCCAATAAGGTCTATGTGAAGAAATGAAGCAAAGAATGGATGGGTCCACAAGCAGCATCTGATCCAAAGTGGATGGCTGCTAATCATCTGATCCTGTTAGGGACAGCTGAGTTATAAACATCCATCTTTAGATATATATAAGTAACCCACTTCAATAGAGATAAAAAATGGTTTTTACATGTTTACAGTATACCAGCTTAGATGTCTTCCAGGTTAATTCAAGGTCCACATTTGTGGATTGGATAGAGGCATGCATTTGAAAAATCTGCCATAGTCTACTTTTACCATTGTTGGTAAATGCAGCAGTGACCCAAGTATACATACTGCATCACAAACACACTCACCATCTCACTTGCACACAACAGACATTACACACCAACCTGGCAAAAGACAACTTAGACTAATCATTTGAGTAAGCTTTAAACTTTTGCTCAACATTTACTGACTTTTTAAGACAGTTAATGTCAAGAATAAATACAGCAAGTTCTCACTTATCACTGAAGAAAGATAATGTACTAGAAATTTGTAATCATTTACAGTTATTATTGTTGACTTTTCTTTATAAACAGTAAAATTGATTCTGTAAGATGAGATCAAATGCTGGAAATTAAAGCACAATCCAATAAGATTATTATTAACCAAATGTTTTCTTTAATCTGATTAATATAATTTGTATTCATATTTTTACCTTTTTCAAACAATGTGAACCTATATGTTTTTCAAATAATTTAACCTACAATGTGTAAGATGTGTCTTGTTGTCATTTTAAATTTTTACCGTATTAGAGGATACGGTAAAAATTCATTGGTACTAGTTCATTGGAATCAACTGTTTGTTTTTTGAATTGCTTGATGATAGGGAGGTGTTCCTTACAATGTTGCCTTTGCAAGCATTTATCATTTATTGCTTGTCTTAATTTATCTCCAGTGACAAGGCTTTAGCCTCCCCATATCACCTACCATCATGACCCCTATTTACCCAATTTTGGGGATCACAGTGATAATTATCTTATTTAAGAAAGATGAATGAAAATAAGATATTTATAGCTTACATTTATCTAATCTTCCATATTAGAGGAGTTTTGGATCTTTAAAAGTTTGGTGATGTTTCTGTGATCAGAAATATGCCATAGGAACTTAATTCTTATTTACATCATTTAGTCTATGGAAAAATTGGTTTCACATTGTGTCATTTCATTTAAGGTCAAGTTTCCAAGAACATATCAGCAATGTTAAGCAATGACTTGTTGTACATGAAATATTTTTAAATATTTAATTTATCTCTAAAATATATTTTAGAACAGAATTTCCAAAAGTAGGCTCACAACTGAAATTCTAAGGCTCCATGAATCTTTTAAAAAGATTTTTTAACTTAAGCTTATCAAGTAAATGCATTATTCATTTATTTTATAACTATTAAGTGAACAGTTATTTAGGTGGACACAAGATCAAACCCTTGTGTCCACCAGTGACTGAGTGGATAAAACCAACAAATGCTGGTTTTATCCACTCAGCTGGTTGTGGATTTGCATCTCACGAAAGGGCAGGCCACAGAGTTTTTCAGGTTTTATTCACATCTAAATAGGGCCAGTTTACCAAAGAAAGTTCTCCTAGAAGACATCCTCCTTGGCACATCCATGTGTAATGTTGTTGTAAATAAACCAATCTACTTATCCTTATCATGAATCATTCATACAACTGACATTTCATTGAAAGATTAAATTAAAACAAATAATTGTTTACCACTGTTAAATAATTATATATAGTTTATTTTTATTAATAAACGGTGGTAAACAATTATACTTATTTTAATTTAATCATTCAATGAAATAATAAAAAACAGAACATTAGAGTCCAGTGGCCTCTGTCAATTCTACAAATTTATAGCAAAAGATGCTGATGAGTTGTGAGTGCTCCATAAAAATTTTTTTCCTTGCTTAATTGTTTCATTTTAACAAGAAGTTTGGGAAATGCTGCTTTATAATATTCTCAATTGGTCTAAAAATTTTTTTTTTATTGATTCCTAAATTGTAAACAAATCATCCACTTATTTTGTATGCAAATTTTAATTTAGTTTTTAAAAATATTTTTTCATGTTCAGTTATAAAAATCAATTTGATAAACAAAAAATTTAAAAAGTTCTCCAAATTCTCCAGTATTGTCTGTTTTGGGAATATTTTATAAATTTTCTACATTTACACTTATTATCTTGGCCATTTTATCAAATGCATATTTTTAATTGGTTGTGCCATCACCAGAAGGAAGATTTTAATGTTTTACATATTGAGACAGACAAGTAGTCTTTACAGAAAGGTGAAATTCCACTCACAAAATTTACTACTGAGGTGTGAAGAAAGGACAAGAACAAAGAACTCTTATGAAGTATTAACTATTTGGAGAATTTATAAATTTTCTATGTTTATTATATATAAAAAAATTTTTTTGATGCACTGTACCCAACTTTATCAAATTAAAGTTTTAGCAGTGCAGAAGAGATACCATAACTATTCATTCAGGAACCATTTAAATCAATAACTCATTTGCTGAAATAAAATTAAAACATTGAAAACTGAAAACTTCTTTAATAATAAATAATTTCCCATTTTCCTGGAAAATGTGATAATATAATTATTCTTTATGAAATACAGATGTTCCTCTACTCATTTTATTTACATGTACCATTCCTACATATATAACAGATGTTAGTTATTAACAAAATCTACAAATCTTGGTACCATCTTTCATAGATAAAAGCATTGCTAAACTTAAACTTAAAAATAAATTTATTAATAATTGAAATGTTTTTATCCTAATTTTTGATCATTAGTATAAAATGCAAATTTAAATACATCATAAATTAGAAATGAATTTGGCACTAGAGCAGGGATGTCAAACTCAAACTGCTTAAGTGCCAATTTTTTTATCTTGAGTATATCAGCGGGCCAGATGTTTTTAGCTTTTGTAGTCAAAAATTTTCTAAAAAGTAGCCCAAGAGTAGCCGACTCAAAAAATTCCTTTTTAATAACCTGAGATTTTGCAATAAAATAAAAAAACCAGCATTTGTACTTTTCCAGCAATAATTTTAATCACAGAACAAACATTTTCCACCAATTTACAGGCCTGAAGCAGGTCTGTAAACTGATAAAAAAAAAAAAAAAAATTGCAAGACTGAAAATACAAGCATAAACTAATTTACTAATATGTCGAAAACACGCATTTTATATGCAAAATAGTGCAAATTATGCAATAAATGATCTTGCCAAAATGGACTTTAATTTGAAATTCAAAAGATGAAATAGAGAAAACAATGTAAACAAGAAATTAATAAATCAAATAAAATAAATATCTCTAAGTAATAGGAATAAATAAAAATAAAAACAATAATAATTGAGTTCAAAAATTTTGTTTATTAAGTATTATTTGTTTAAGTACAAAATATCACATTTTCTTTGGTATCAAGATGAAAAAATAAACAAAAAGCATTATTGAATTGACGTTNGGAATAAATAAAAATAAAAACAATAATAATTGAGTTCAAAAATTTTGTTTATTAAGTATTATTTGTTTAAGTACAAAATATCACATTTTCTTTGGTATCAAGATGAAAAAATAAACAAAAAGCATTATTGAATTGACGTTGTGGGCCACAACATATTGTCTTGCGGGCAGTATCTTTGACATGTCTGCATAATGTCTCACTCTTTTAGAGTGAGACATTAGACCCATCTCATATTAAAATGAATAATTATTTAAATAGACCAGAACAAATATATATATACACACATCAACAACCCAA